GAAAATCCAGGAAGACGATGTCCACTGCTACCCTGCGTCTAAGGATTTGGTGACCTGGGTGTAGGAGGCCACCAGGTTGGTCTGACAGGACCTGCTGCTAATGAACCCGTGTTGGTTGCCCCTAAGCATAATCTCCCCCCCGGCCCCTCATGGACATGCGCCAGGATAACTCTCTCAAAAAGCTTGCCCAGGATCGAGGTAAGACTAACTGGCCTATAGCTTCCCGGGTCCTCCTTCCTCCCCTTTTTGAAGATGGGAACCACGTTGGCCTCTTCCAGTCCTCTGGCACCACACCAGAGCACCACGAGTGCTCGTACAGCTGTGCCAGGGGTCCTGCAATGACCGCAGCCAATTCCCTCAGCACTCGGGGGTGGAGATCGTCCGGACCAGCTGATTTAAATACATCCAGTCCCTCCAGACGTTCCCTGACTAGATCCTTCCTGACCCTGGGTCTGGGGGCGCCTCTGCTGGGGCCTGAGGGTGGCCCGGTGGGGGGCCTGATCCAGTCTCTGCTTAGGAAAATGGAGGCAAAGAAGTAGTTAAATAGATTAGCTTTGTCGTCTGGTGTGACGACCAAATTTCCTAGCATGTCTTGCAGGGGCCCCACGTTACCCGGTACCTTCTTTTTGCCCCCTATGTATTTAAAAAAGGACTTCTTACTGTCCTTGATCCGGGAAGCTAGTCCCAGTCCCATCTCCGCCTTGGCCTTCCTGACTGCCCCTCTGCATCCCCGAGTCACTGAGACAGCAGCTGTGTCTTAGCTCTGGAAAGTCCTTGCCAATGATATGGGAGACAAGGGAGATAGATGGAATCGCCTTTGTTTTTCTGTCCGCTCAACCCCGTGCCCCAAAATACAAGGTGCTTTAAGCTCTGATGGCACGTCTACACATTCAATTAATGTGTGTTTGGTAACGCACATTAAATCTAATACCTCCATTGTGAAGTACTAGAAAAGTGTGCAGTAGCCTATTTTAATGCACATTAGCTAAAGAGCACAGGTTTTTTGTGATGCTTTAATGCGCATTAAATAGACTAATGTGCATTAAAGCACATGTGTAGACGCACCCTGAGTTTTTAACTTCATGCTCCCTGTGACGGCTTCTGAGGTCCCCATTAACCCCCCATATCCCACCCGCATGCTCAGCCCCATGCCTGCTCCCAGTCTGCGTGACCTCCGTGGGCCGACACCTGGAAATGACTAGAGGATCCTCTTGGTTTTGACCCATTTCAGCCTGGAGGCTTAATGTGGGCTGAACTGGGGGCATAACTAGGGAGGGTCAGGAGGGTGGGGTCAAGGGTAGGTAGAGGCCAAAATCGCAGGGTAGGATATCAATGGATTTTGCAGTATTTCAGTCTGAGATGGAGGCTGGGCCCATGCCGCCCATAGCTCAGGATCAGGACTAAGTGGTACCTCGAGTGTTGCATCCCGCATGTCTTGGAGGTAGTGGGCAGCCGGACGCTGCTCGTTGCCATCGGTCTTTGTGTTGCCGGCTGTGCCATGCCAGGGCTCTGCCGTTGGGTGGCTGTGGGGGAAGGAGATGAGGGGGAGACTTTCCAACTGCCCTTTAATTAGGCAGCGCAGATTGGGCTCCCCCGCAAACCAAGCTGCTTCTCACCAAGGCAGGCTCCTGGCAGGGGCTTGCTAAATCCTTCCTCTCTCCCTCCTCTGCTTTCCCTCGCTTGGTGGTAGCTGCTAGCTCACAGCAGCCGGGGCTTGGAAGCTTTGTTAACTTTTAGGAGCTTTCCCAGGCTTCCCGGCATGGCTTTGTTACCTGGTGAAAGGACAAGTGATTGTTTTGTGCAAAGAGCCTGGTCCCCGGAGCTTCTGTTTGGAAAGAAAGCAGTTTCTGGGGCCAAATCCTGCTCGCTCTTGTGAACCTGAAATGCTGCGGAGTGGTTTCGGAGACACCGAGAGCAGAGTTTCGAGCCTGGGGCATCTCTCCTCCAGCACTTCCCCGCTCCCTGGTCCAGGCTTTGGCATGCATCAGTCTCCTTTCCCGGCTGGCCACCATGTCCAGGCCTTGCCTGTGTGGCAGGTTGAGCTGAGCGGAGTCGGGCGGGGAAACCGGAGGATCTAGTGTGGACACGAGCAGGCAGGAGGGAAGCATTCAAGGTACTTGAATTGGCTGTGGAAGCAGAGGGACCGGGGGCTTTCCTGAGTGCATCTGTGCACACGGCAAGCCTTCATGGCCTGACACCAAGGGCCCGTGAAACAGAGGAAAGATTTCCGTGTCCTTTGCATCGGGACTTTTGTCCTTTAGCTCAAGCGGTGGTGGCTCCAGCTCTTCCCTAGAGAGGCCGCGGATCTGCCAGCTCTGCCCATTGCATGGCAGGGGCCCTCTCCCCGCAATCCCTCGCTGCCCTGATGGTGGGGAGGGAGGGAGCGCTGCAGATTCAGAGGGACTAAGTACGTCACCCCACAGCCGTGCTTGTCTCTAGATAGTGCTTTTCATCCCAGATCTCAGAGCTCCTCACAAAGGAAAAGGAGGCTTGTCAGTGCATTGCAAAGGTAAGCAGACCCCTTAGGGGACGGTGGAGAAACGGGCTTGCCACATGGCCTATAAGGTCAGCAAACTGCCACGGAAATGCCCCTTTTGCTTTTTTGGGGGCAGGCCGGTGCCCTGCAGTCAAGTGCTCCTCCTGGCAGAGCCCCTGCGTGGATCGCTCCCCGGGACAAAGGTCACGGACCAGCTCCGGACGTCACCTCTCGCGGGGTCGGGGGGCAAAGCCCCGGGTCCGGGATCCTGGGCCCGATGCTCTCGTGAACCGGCGGTCGCTGATTGTTGTCGTGTGACGAATGTAACCTTGTAGTGAAAGATCTTCCAGCGTGAGCCTGGTTTATTTACATGACCCATTGCCTCGCCATAGCCAATGGACGCTATAATTCCAGAAGCCAATCGCTGAGGTCCACAGATAACAGAAAGCGAGAGGACGCCGACGAGCTGCAGCAGTACGGGTACCCGGCACCGCAAATAGGTAAGCTCCCGAGCAAGGCGGCTGCCTCCTGCTCCGGGGACCCGAGCACTAGGCAGCGGTCAGGGTAGTGTGGCTGGCTCGCTCCTCTCTTCCCCAGGCCCAGCTGTTTCTGAGGTTGACGGACATGGGGTCACCAAGCCGCCAGCCCCAGATATGGGGGCTACGTTGTCACTCAGTCTCATCCCGTCCCGCTCTCTCTGCGGGGCTTGTCCTGGCGCCCATCTGCGTGGTGTCAGGGCACGATGGAGATGGGCTAAGACAGAGAGAGGAGGGTCAGCTTCGCCATGGAGGTGAATGGGAGCGGCTGTAGGCAGCCCCCGGGGTCCAGACTGATGCTATACACTAACCCCAATCCGCTTGCCTTCACCCTGCCCGCTTGCAAGTCACTGGCTGTACATCTGATGCACATCAGCAGCTCCTGTCATCCAGGGTCCATTAAGCCAAAGCTGACCTTACTGGGAGATACGGGGGCCATGCTCTTTGCTGCAATACCCGCTCTCCTTGGGTGCATCGGTGCCCGAAGGCCTGCAGTTGCACGTGGGATGTCACGTCTGAGTGTGGTCGGTCACACTGGGGAAGAGGGGGACCCCACTTTCTGGGAGCAGCCTGGTCTAGGGCCTTTTGTTTTGGGTCTGGGTTTGCTGCTGCAATGGGTGGCATCCTGGCTGGATGGACCAAGGGGCTTTGCATGCAGTTCTGCTGCTCCTGCGAGGTTCCCAGCTCCTCCTCGCCCTCCCTGACTCTGTCCTGCTGCCTTTTGCTGGAGGAGCTCGAGCTGGCGCATAACTGAGCAGCGCTGACACCAGCTGCGGGTTAAAAGCATTGCCCGCAGGCCGCTGGAGCGGGCTCTGCTTTTGAACAGGCGAGGCGAGGCGGCATCGCAGGGAGCCAGTGCGGTGACCTAGATTTCGGGGAGTGTGGAATT